ATAATATTAATAAAAAAAAAGTTCTGAGCTACCCTTATTTTGCTTCAAAGTTTTTATTTAGAAATTTAATTTTTTTTCCTGAAATTTCCCTCTTAAAATGAAGATGCGTGTTATACGCCTGTGCGTGTTATACGCCGATAAATACGGTATATCCTGCCTTTAGTATTTTTATCAATAACTGAAGGTGGCCAGCGGACCTAAAGCACCTCCCTCCCTCCTACTACATTTTCCCCACAACAACAACCCTGTGAGGTGGGTTGGGCTAAAAGTAACCCAGTCAGCTGTCACTCCTAAGGCGGGACTAGGACTCCCTTGTCTCCTGGTGATTGGCCCAAAGTCACCCAGTCAGCTTTCAGGCTTAAAGTGGGGCTGGAACTATGACCAACTGAACAAGTGCAGTGATTCCCTTTACAACTCTAGCAAGCAAGGTGGTAAAAGGGGACAAAACTCACTTCACAAATGTTCCACTTAGCAACGTAAACTTTTGGTCTCCTTAGTGGTCATAACTCGAGGACTGCCTGTGTATTTTCCAACAGGCAGGGTCTCATAGTGGCTTTTCTTTGTTCCCTCCACCAGATGTCCCAGTTTATCGTGCAATGCCTGAACCCCTATCGCAAACCCGATTGCAAAGTGGGGCGCATCACCACAACAGAAGACTTCAAGCACCTGGCACGCAAGGTGAGCAACCCCCTCCCCGCGGGACCCTCCCAGGCAAGCAGGCCTCGTGGTCCCCGCCAGGGGGTATCTTGGAGGAGGGAGTCAGACTCCCAAGCCCAGGTTTTCTCTCTCTCTCTTTTCTTCCTTCCTTCCTTTCTTTTCTCTCTCTCTCTCTCTCTCATTCTTTCCTTCCTCTCTTTTTTCTTTTTTTCTTCCTTACTTCCTTTTTCTTTTTCTTATTGCTTTATTTCCTTCCTTCGTTCCTTCTTTCTTCTCTTTCCTTTTTCCTTTCTTAATTTTTCTTTTTTGTTTTCTTTCTTAACTTCCTCCCTCTCCCTCTTCCTTTTTTCTTTCTTCCTTCTTCTTTTCCTCTTTCTTCTATTCCTTCCTCCTCTTCTTCCTTCTGCGATTTATAGAACCCTGAGGTTGTGATGAGCCATCCAAGCAGAAGCTTAGAGATGCACCTCAGTGGCCGGCCTGCCAGGAAGATGCACCTGCCCCACTACACTCACGTTGGGGGGGGGGGGGATTCAAATTCTGCCTCCAAAATCAGGAGCACTAAGAAAAGTCTCTCGGGTGAAATAAACCAAGGCTGAGGAAGGAAGGAAAAGGAAAGGGAGAGGAAGGAAGGCAAGGAAGGGAGGTCTTCCTCTCCTCAAACCACCCACCCACCCACCCCTTTTAGTACTGAAACCCACCCACCCACCCACCCACCTCCCCTTTTAGTACTGATGATGCTACCTAGCTGGGTCATGAAAGGTCTCGGCTCAGAGAGCACCCAGGACCCCAGAGCTGAGCCACAAATACAATATATTCTGTGGGTCTCTCCTCTCCTCCTCCCAGCTCACCCATGGCGTGATGAACAAGGAGCTGAAATACTGCAAGACGCCGGAAGACCTGGAATGCAACGAGAACGTCAAACACAAAACGAAGGAATACATCAAGAAATACATGCAGAAATTCGGCACCGTGTACAAACCCAAAGAAGACACCGACATGGAGTAGGAAGGGTATATATATATATATAGTTTTTAGGGGCTTGACCCTCTGCTTTTCCTGGGCAGAGTTCACACCGTTATGGGCCTGAATACACGAAACACACATATTTTGGCCAACACAAACGTCTCCTTTCCAAGCTGAATCCGGAGACCAGAGTAGCAGAAACAGGGGCGAGTTCAAATTGTTTGCACAGCCCCCACTGGCTCACAAGCACCTCACTTTGCAAGAGCCCCCAAAACTGACCACAGGGCGGTGCTTCCCTTGCGCAACGCAACGCGCGAGTCCATTCCCCTCCCCCCCACTGAGGTCTGTATAATATTCTTATGTGAATATATTGAATTTATTTTTGTCCCCTCTTTCGTTTGGCCCGGCCTCTTTTTTGCAGCCCAACACCTGTTGATATCATGGGAACACTTTGTAAGAATAGTTTTGGAGAAAAACAAAAAGGAAAAAAAAAAAGAGGAGGGATTGTTTATTATTATTATTATTATTTTTCTTCTTCTTCCACTTTTGTTTCCTTCTGGTTTACTTTTTTTTTCTTTTTCCAGTTTTTGTTTTTTCCCCATTGTTCTCTGCAGAGGTTTCATCTGTTATCATGTAAATATTTGCAAAGAGGCCAGCTCAAGGTTTGGAGCAGGCCGTACTGTCTGTTGATAAGACTAATTTACTGCTTTTGAATCATTTTACTTTCTCCAATTTTTACGGAAGTTTCTATGTAAAATGAGAAAAAAATTAAAAAATTAAAAGAAAATGGTAATAAAGGAATGTGGAAAAAATGGATTATTTTTTTTTTCGCCCTTGCGGGAAGTCAAGGTAAGATTTTATAAATGAAACAGAAAAAGTAAATAAGTCAAAACAAAAGTCGAGAAAGAAAAGGTTCTACAGGCAGTCCTCGACTTGTGACCGGTTGCCTAAAGTTGTGATGGATTACCTGGAGGGCACCTATCCCCTGGATCCGAGGGTAGCACGAATTGGGCACTCAGCAACGCAGCCCTGTTTTACGATGAGGGTTTTGCCGAATCTGGCATTTACTTCTTCCATTTATAGGCAGAACTGCCCTGTTCCAAACCATTGGTTCACTTAACATCCGACGCAAAAGTTGTAAAATCGAGTCAGTTGTGTGTGAGACCACTGATGACAGCCATGGCTTAATAGCCGTGTGATGGGCAGGCTCTCTTCCGTCGTAAGTTGAAGACTCCCTCTAGTTCCTCCCTCTAATGACCTTTGATCCTTCAACGTGGATGAAGTTGCGTGTAGTTAGAGGTAGTCCTTGCCTTACAACCTCAGTGGAGCCCCCAATTTCTGCTGCTAAGAGGTGATTGTTAAGTGAACTTTGCCCCATTTTACGACCTTTTACGATCATGTGTCCCTGGGACATCGTGACCGTCACAAACACAAGTCAGTTGCTAAGTGGCTGAATTCTGATCATGTGACGGGGGGGGGGGACACTGCGACAGTCATAAGTGTGAAAAACAGTCCTAAGCCCCAGGTGGGTCACGTGATTCCCCTTGGGCGACCTTCTGACAGGCAAAGCCGGCGTGGAAGCCCAGATTCCCTTCCCCCACTCTGATATTGTCAACAGTTGCACTGATTCACTTAACAACCGTGGCAAGAAAGGTGGTAAAACGTGGCAGAACTCCCTGGTAACAGCCCTCTTCTCTTTGGAGTGGAAATTGTGGTTGTAGGTGGACCTGCAGGTCAGGCTGGCCTGCCTGCCTGTGATGCCCAGGGTGGCCTGCAGGTAGCAGAGCTGCCTTTTGCCTCGAATGAGGCCCTGGCCAAGGAAGAGGCCTCTGGCGGAGCGAGGGGTTCCCCACCTGGCGCCCTCCAGGTTGTCCTTCCCAGGGTTCCCCGCTGGCACCACCCCAGCCCCTCCGAAGGGGTGACCTCGGGGACGGCAAGGGCCCTGGTTTCCTCAAAGGAGGTTGGCCAGCAGACCGAAGGAGGACACAGAGAACCCCCTGAGCCAGCTTGGCTGCCCTTGGGACCCCCTTGGACCAGAGCCCACCCTTTCCTGCCCCTTGGAAGGGGGAGGCCCCCAGGGCAGAGTCCCTCTGGAAGACGCCTGGACTTCAATTCCCAGAATTCCCCAGCCAGTCAGGGCGGGTGGGAAATTCGGAGAGCTGGTTGGTCAAGGGGCCCAGGGGATCCCTTCGTTCCTGGGGGGGGGGTGAGGGGGCGTGCCCCATTGCTTCAGAAAACTTCTGGGTGCTCCACGGGGGCTGCTGCTCCTCCGGTGCCTTCTTTCGCCCAAATGGCCTCCCACCTTCCCCTGACTCCTTTCTAGCCCTGATGACGTTAATCAGCGGGGTCGTTAAATGTCTGCAAACAGCCAAGCACAGAGCACCAAGCAGCAGAGTCCTATCTTCTTCCTTCCTTCCTTCCTCCTCCTCCTTTCTTCTTTTTCATCTTCCTTGTTCTTCCTCCTCCTCTGCAACCCCCACCCCTCCCTTCTAGCACCGGTGGATGTTCCCTAGTTGGGTCTTGAACATATGACAGGAATCCGCCAGGCTCAGAGATCACCAAGGAGCCCGCCATGTTTTCCCTCCTCCTCTCTCCTCTCTCCTTCCCAGCCGGCTCGCACCAACACCAGATGCTTCCCCTCTTTGATGCTCAAGGCCGCTGGGCTTTCTGAGCAGCCAGCGCCCCAGGAAGGAGACGTGTGTGCGCCATTGCACCATTGCCAGCCCCGGCAGCTACGGCCACCCAATTTGGATTTCCCCTCGAGATTATCAGGGAGGCGCTATCTCGTCCCAACTGGGGCTTGTTTGGCGGGACCCGGACTGTGTTTTCACCAGGCAATTAAAAACCCAATATTTGGCATCCAAATATTCCTTTGTCAGGTACTGCAGGACGCCTCCCTCACAGCCCAATCGGCATCATGCCCGTCCTTGGGGTAACTGGGTGGCCCCTGCACCCCCAGACTCCCACACGAAATCCTGCTAGCACCCTGTTGCAAATCTAAAAAAGAAAAATACAGCTAGTAGGTAGGAACCAGAATTTCCATCGCTTAACCAAGGGGGTTCAAGTCAGCTCTGCCTGATTTTATGACCTATATTTCTGGCCTGGCTGTTAAGTGAATCTCCCGCTCGTCGGAAGCCAGCTGGGATAGTTGCAAGAGGGGAGGGGAGGAAGGAAGGAAGAAGCGGGAGAGAAGGGAGGAAACAAGGGATTGTGGGACGGAGGGAGGGAAGACAAAAAAAAAGGAGGTATTGTGGGATGAAGGAAGAAAGGGAGGAGAGGGAAGGAGGGAAAGATAAAGTAACATCTGTGGAACATCTGGAAAATATTGGCAGGCCTCCCGGAGAGAGTTCAGCTTAGCAGTTTTAATTTTTTAACAGCCCACCAAAGTTCCCCCCGTTGGCATCTGGCTCACCCTGAGGTTTTTCCCAGCTCTTCTTGCCTCCCCAGAAACCAAACCAGAAAGCAGATCGCGCCCAATTGCAGCCACAAATTCCTGCAACTGTCTATGTAGGCAGGGCGGAAGCTTCCACTGCGCGATCCTGGGCTCCGTCTTGACTTTTTTTGACCTCCGTGTGTGTGTAGTTCTGGCAGTTCCATCAGCTCTCAAATTTGGAGATATCCCGGCAAAAAAAGGTATTTCTTCTACCTGGCTTGTTCAACCGGAAGAGCTTAAAGTTGATGTCAACCTTGCCGTATTATCTAACTCTTAGGTAGTCCTCAATTTATGAACACAACGGAGCCCGAAATTTCTCTGGCAATCAGAAGTTGCTTCCTTTCTTGCCTTCCCCTCACACCTCCTCCTCTCTCCCATGCTTTCTTCCCTTTTCCCCCCTCCCCTCAATTTTTCCTCCTTCCTTCTTCTTTTTCTTTCCTCCCTTTGACCATCCTTCCTTTTTTTCTTTCCCCTCTCCCTGTTTTTTTCATCCCTCCCTTTTCCCCTCCCCTTTTCTTTCATCCCTCCTCCTCTTTCCTACCCTGTCTTTCTTTCTTTCCTTCCATTCTTCGCTCTCCTCCCTACCTCCCTTTGGTGTGCATTCATTCTGCTAAGGCCACACACTCCGGGGAAACACACCCCCCCGCACCACCCCCGCCTCCCTCCAGACTGACCGCCTGGGCAGCCCTGGGAACTGACCTTGCCACAGAGACCCAGACTGACCCTCGGCTGCTGGACTTGACTTTCCCTGGCGGTCAGTCCAAGGTTGCTGTTCCAACCCTCCCTGGGGAGATTCTGGATTTTTTTGGGGGGGGGGGGGAAATTCTGGGAGAATCCTTTCAGACGGGCGGGGAAATTTATTTGGGGGGCACCAAAACCCCTTTTCCCCCCCCCCCCCGAAATATTCCTTTTTCTTCCTCTCTGGGGTGTATTTATTGTCTTCTACCTCTTGTAGAGTCAACCAAAAACTTTTATTTAAACAGTAAAATTGTGGAAACAACAACAGTTTGCATATTTACAATCCTCTTTCAAGAGGGACACCAGCAAAGGGATTATTTACAGAAGGGAAGTTAATTTTATTAACCAAAAAAAACGATCGCCGTCCTTCTTCTCGGCAGGCGGTCCTCGGTTTATGACCTGGTCATTGAACAACCATTCAAAGTTACTACAGAATCATTTATAAGTCACTGCTCCGTTCAAGTAGTCCTTGACTTACAGCCTTTTCTTTAGGGACTGTTTGAACTTACGACGGGCACTGAAAGATGTGGCTTATGGCCTTTTTCACACTTTACGACGGTTGCAGCATGCACACACAAACACACACATAGTCACGTGATCAAAAATTCAGACGCTTGGCAACTGACTCGTATTTATGACGGTCGTAGTGCCCCAGGGTCATGCGATTCCCCTTTTGCGACCTTCTCACGAGCATTAAAGTCTTAATTTGGGAAGCCGGGTTCATTTAATGACCATGTGACTAACTTAACAATTGTGGCACAAGGAAAATTGTAATATTGGGCAAAACTCGCTTAACAACCGTCTTAGCAATGAAAATTTTGGGCTCAGTTGTGGTCATAAGTCAAGGACTGCCTGTATTTTACTTATTGGCTTTGTGTGCTCATTTTGAGGAAACTGTATACGACTGTCCTCAAACTTACAACAGCCACATGACAACCAGCCCTGTGATTGCATTTCACGCATCTGGTAACTGTCTCACACTTATGACCAGTTGCAGTGTCCCATGGTCACGTGACTGCGCTTTGCAACGTTTTCTGCCATTTTTCCAGGAAAAAACAACCATTGCGTAAAATGTTTGCCCTTGTGACCGGGTGGTTCACTTAAGGACAGTGGTGACTCACTTAATGATAGCATAAAATTGAGTCTGGGAGTTGAAATCCGCCCATCGTGGCCAAGGCTCTGAAACACCATTGTGG